TAGGAAACGTGAATCACATATGTATTACTTGAGAAATTTTCTTTTACAGTTTAATAGAGTTTGAAAAGTTTATTAGGTCAAGAAAGAAGGGTATGAGAACAAAAACAACAGAGAAGAAAACTTCAATATGCGATCAAGCACTTGCTTATTTTGCCTAGAAATTGAAAATCTGTAAAAATATGAAGAATTGAAGGAATAGTTGAAATATTAGTTACCAGAAGCTACAGAGACACAAATCAAATAAGCATTCCAAATCTACTCAGATTTAACAAACAAAAACTACAACAGCACATATACATATCAAGACAATGAACTTGATGACAGTTACAAATTACACTAGCCATCATTCCAAACTATAGAGAAAACCTTTTTGAGAGTATCATAAAATCCAGAACAAAAAATATGAAACCCAGTGACTTTTGAAAGTATAAAAGATATCTAGGAAATTTAATTATAAATACCTCCATTTCTAAATTCAATCAAGAAAAAGACTCTATGTGGTCACTTTTTCTGCAAAAACAAGGTATGATCTGTACTATTATCCAACCACTAAGAGTATCCAACACTACAAATTTGGCGTAAATCATTAATTACCATTAAAACAAATTGACAGTCATAAAACATGGTTTGGGTAACCTGAAATGCCTAGCCTAAGCATAAATTATAAATGAAAATTAGAAATATGTCCTACTAAAAATTATATATTTACATATTTTTGCCTTCTAGGCATTAATGCAAGCCACAATTTAACTAAAGATGGTTCAAGATTGCTAACTGTCTCCCTCATAAAAAAACACATTCAAACTTACCCATTCCTTTTATGGTCTTTAAAATCTTCATTTTCTCTTGCTTTCCTCTATGCCCACTTCTTCTAGAAAATTCTCAACAACTCTCCTTAGATTAAGTGGATCTCTGCAAGCCAAAGGAGGCTCAGATATCAGCAACGTCAAAGACCAAATATAATGATCACCAAAATACCCAAAAGGGACAAAAAAACAATTGGAAAAGTAACGAATGTATCCCTCATTACTCTTTCAAAAGGAAGATGCAAAGGATGAGAAGGTATTAACTTAATGACTCCATCAATAAAGCATGGAAAACATTATTTTACTTTATTGCTTGTCAAATTTGAACGCAGCACCATATATCCTTATCATTTACATCCAAAAGTTATGAAACACAATAGCTCCATTAGCCATAGTTTGTGAAAAAAAATAGTGCTTTAGTGAAATTTAGTAATACACACCTCACGTATCTGCAATCATCTGCAGTACAAACAACAATTTTAGACAGGGCCTATATCATGGAGAAGTGCAGTATCCTCCAGCTACCAGGGAAGTCCAATCAAGAAACTTGGAAACACAGAAAAGAAAAATAGCAAAGCAAAGGTCAGCAGATAGTTATAACTTATAAAAACCAATTTTCCATGAATGTTGCAAAGCTATCTCTGCTAATAAAAGGTACTTGTACTAAGGGCATTATCTGAAAATCAAATTGAACCATATATTATACTAAGTTTTTCATAATTCAAGAATCAAGATTCAAACTTTCCTTTGGAAGCATTTGAATACAACTAACTATATTGCAATAGAAAATGAAGAAAATCATCTAGACGCTAATCACTGTATTGAAAGCAGGAAAGAGAAGGAGTTTTTACAATTTCCATGGAATCAGAGTTGGAGAAGAGACCTTCCTCACGGACAAGAGAAAGAGCAAGATCCTTGACCCTCCACACATGCCAGGCATCGTGCGACGCGTCGTTGCCTGCAACAACTGCTCCGCCTTCCTCACTGTCATTCTGTCCACCATGTTGTCCTAGTTCTGCGTTCCTCAGCATTAACCAACCAATGAATCGCAGATGGTGGAAAATCAGGAGGTTTTCACGAAAGGGACGGTAAAATAGAGGCCATCTCGGAATCTAATGCACGGTCTGGATGCAGTGTGATTGTAAAAATAAAAATAAAATAAAATAAAATAAAATAAAAAATTTTTCATAGAAAGAGTATTTTACAGACTGATTAATAAATCATAAATAATGGAAAATCAGGAGGTTTTCACAAAAAGGGGCCGTAACGGAGAGGGTGCGTTAATATTTAATGATTTATATTG